TTTTTTTTAAATTTAATCAACTACTAAATTGGCACGAGCACCAATTCATGGAATCACAATGAAAGCACTTGTACAACGCTTCAGCTGCAACAATTAACTCTTTAAACAATCTCCAAAAGTAGGCTCTTTCTCCTCTTTCCAACGCTACCTGGCGCGTGTCAATTGATACCTGGCTGCAAAGATATTGACGGTTTAGTGAGGGCATCAGTTCGAGGCTACTAAACTGACATTTTCCCTTACAGTGATGTGGCTTACCTACTAGGCCGTAAGAAATCACGCTTGTCTAATTTCGAGTACGATACGATTTCGCGATGAGGAGCGTACATGCAGCTAGGTCGATTGGTTCGTGTTGGCCTCGCCGATTAAGTATGGGCATCCCCCCCCGAAGGATTTTTGAAGGACATATCGATCGCACCCGATTTTATCGGTGGAGAGATACATTTTTTTATAGTTAACAGCAAGTAGATATAATGAGAGTGTCTCGCGGGCGATGCGACCATGCAACATACTTAAGTACTTCAAGTACACGTAGTGTATACCTATGTGTATGGATAAATTGTAAGGGTAAATCGTACGAAGCAACTGGTGTGACAAAGCGAATGCATGTGATGACAAATGCTTGTTAAAGATGTTATTGGCAATACATGTAAATCTTATTGCCACTAAGAATACTGATCTACTAAATCCAGCAAAAGACTTGTAGAACTATCATCCGTGCAGTTTTCTTTGAACAAAGTGAAGGTGAACTGTGCATAATTCTTTGAAACCCACTTTCTATTCTTTGAAACCCACTTTCTAATTTTATCGCTGCACAAGAACCTCTGCAAAGGCTACATTTCCACTTGAACATTGAGTAAACAAGACTCAATCCAAGCTTACGCGCACAAACTATGGTCTCTCCGCACAACTGTCAACCCCGCCAAGGCTTTACACGCGTCACTCGGCCCTCTAATCTATGTATGTTCAAGCAATATGGAGATAAAGATACGCTAGTGTGCATTTGTACACGAGACGACGCAAGGGAGTCGTCTACAGGATTCCGGCTCTTCATTTTCGCAGCACGGCGCGAGTTGGCAAGTTTAAATTGCAACAATAGGACTTGTTGTCTTCGCTACAATAGAAATGCAAGTACGAAAGGAAAACTGACGCAAGGCTCCTACCAAGTTGAGAGATTGAACTTCGGAACTGGTGAGAAATAATAGTGTCCTCACAAATTGCCAACGATGCTACGATTGCAAATCGCTCGCCACCTCTGATCGCCAACTTGGACCGCTGAGTGGCAGAGTGGCACGCGCTTCCGGTGGCCGCCGTCATCTTTAAGCGGATATAGCTCGGCACTTCGCTTTTCGCGTCCCCTGAGTCGGAGGTGGAGCCTGTGGCCCCACAGCTCGACTACAAGAACCAACATACATCGGTAAAGTCGGTTAGTTCTCAATTTGCATGTGACAGACAATTCGACTAGCGATTGGGATCAGATTTTTATCCAGGAGCAAGCAACTAACAAGCCCATGCGGTCTTTGTATGTAAATGGACAGATATGTACAGAACTTTCCCAGGGGCAACTCAATCCAACGGTTACAGCACGGCAGACCAACAAGTCGACGCTGGCTGGGGATCAAATTTTACATGTGAACAACAAGAACAACGCAATTCCTCACAATCAACGGAGACTTTTACATGTAATTCCGATAACCCAGCTACTGGAACATCAAGTGAAGCTTCCACAGAGTACTTAACGTCGCCGCCTCTCTTCAGCTTCTCAGTTCTACTCAAGGACAACGGAGAGTTTAGAGACAGCCAGGATTTTGGTTCTCGAAACGACGATATCCCACTATTCCAGTCTGAAAATGATAGCTACACTACCGGACTTGATGCGTCCATGACGGACTTAGCGATGCAAGATGCGATGGAACTGGTCACTTTTAAACTGGGGCAACGCACAACGCCTACGCTGGCAACTGGACATGATTCAGGTGCTGTGGAATCGGCTCAAGGCAAAAACTCAGCAATGCCAAAGCTACGGAGACTGGACTGTCCAACTTTCTCGAGTAGCGACGATGACGACGTGATATCTTTCAGTGGGATTACCATGACGAACAGGTACAGAATTGTATCATAGCTGGGTTATTTTTTACTATCTTAACTAGCACACTATCATATTGTTGATTGCAGTGTGAATTCAGGTCGCACTATCGTTGAAAATGATCGTGGATTTCGAAAGAAGTCGCGAGAAAAAATGCGACGCCACGACGTGAATATCAAGGTATGTCGGCATTGATAACTTTTTACTGGAGTCGACTGAACTAACGAGTTGATGTATCCTAGTTTGAAATGCTCGTTAATGTTTTAGGACTCGCCAGTCGCGCTTGCAAGAAGAATATTCTGCACGAGGCAGCATCTGCTATCAAAGGCTTGAAAAGTGAGTGCAACCAGCTGCGTCGTGAACGAGATCGACTTCAGCAAGAATTGAACAATTTGGCTACATATCTACAGAGCACGGAAAGTAGACGTATCTGACGTCATAATATTAGAGCTGTAAAAGCTACAGCTGTGTGTTAGAGATAAAAGTGTGTGAAGTTTACACAAGTAAGTAAAGTACTTCTACCAGTTATGCGCTCCATACGCT